CCTCTCCCATGTCCCCCCGGAACTGTCAGTCCCGTTGTTTTCTCCTCCAGATTGTTCATCCAGCCTGTCCTATCCTGTAGACTGTTTCTTTTAGTGCATTTTATGTATAGTATTCAATGGCTTACTTTTTATGACTTTGTAATCGCTCCCCCCCCTTACTATTCTTTTTCTTACATAACACATACGTATTACCTGTGCTAATTTTAGCTTCTGGTTCTCTTTTATTTATTTTTGTAAAAATCATTTTATTGGGGGCTCTTACAGCTTTTGTGACATTTCATACATCAGTTGTTTCAAGCATATCTGTACATATACTGCCATCATCATTTCCTAAACATTTACTTTCTGTTTGAGCCCTTGATATCAGCTCTTCTTATTTCTCTGCCTCCCACCTCCTACCCTGTGACCCCTTGACAACTTGTAAATTATTATTGTTTTCATGTCTTACACCGACTGCTGTCTCCCTTCCACCTGCCTTTCTGTTGTTCATCCCCCCTGGGGAGGGAAATTGTGCCGTGATCATTGCCATCATTTCCCCCTTCCTCTCCCCTCTCTGGTTCTCTTTTATGGGATTTGCATTTTCTTAAATATTTGTATGTTTCAAGGCTGCAGTGAAACTTACTCTTATTGTGCGTTTTGGAACTAGGTACTTTTCTATATCTTTGGACTTCTTAATAGCCCTTTTTATATATGTTCAAGAGAGCTTAGCGTTTCTATTCATTTTGGATCATTTGGATCATCCTGGCAGTCACTAGTTTTTCCCTTTTTCGTAGTATTGTATGAACCTTTGTGGGAGGGAACTTACCTGTTGTGGCACCTAGCATGAGTGTATCTTCAAAATGCGTCATGTCGTGTGTATGTAATAAAATGGGCTCAGTTTATACTCAGTATTTTGCAAAATACTCTACTGAAATTACTGTTTTGTAAAGTAAAAATCTTGATATTTTAAAATGGATTTATTTAATTTTAAGATTTATTTGTTTAGAGCAATGTTGGCCAAAGTAGGAGATACTGCTTCGGGGCATGGGGTGGGGGGTGCACACTAGAATAAACCACATGAGCTGCCAAAGCAGATACCTACAACTTATCCTGAATTGTAGACTATAGTACAAAAGGTTTTAATTACCAAGGAGATGCTGAGTAAATATATATACATATATATATATATATTTTTTTTTTTTTTTCTGAAAAAGAGGTGATAGATCAAAGAACTTTGGGAACCCATGACTTAGAGTTGAAAATGCATACTAGTGAAGTAATAATTCAAACTATGCAAAATACATAACAGGTTTTGGTAAATATTTTAGAACTGGCTTCTTATAAAGTGATCTACTAATATTCCACTTGTGTTAACAGGTAGAAGTATAGGTGCAGATAATGTATGTAGAGATAGACTGGAAAAGACCATCATTCTCTTTACTAAAGTGGTAAGTTCTCTTTTTACTTCTTCTCAAATGAGGGTAAGGTAAAATGTATTCTTTAAAAATCAGTAGAAACCTTTATTAAACAAAAATATCAAACTGTGAAGCGATTTCTCGACAGTCTCTCGCGGTCTATACACTTCTGCAAACAGTGTCTCCGTCTCTCCTCGTCCACAGTTTGATTTATAGCCTGTCAAAGCACAGTTTTAGCATTCTTGAAGGTCTCAGATCATGTTCTTTATCAATGATGTTTCAATTTGGGGAACAAAAAAATAAGTCTGAAAGGGCAAGATTAAGGCTGTAGGGTGGATGGTTTCTAGGAAATTCTCATCTGACAGTCATGGCTTTTCTTGAAGAAGAGCCAGGTGCATTGTAGTGGTGGGAAAGTTCTCCTGACCCAATTTTCCAGGCCTTTTCTCACCAATTCAGTTTTCTTACAACTTCTTCCTAATAAGCCTCAATGATTGTCCTGTGTCCTTCAAGAAAATCTTTCAAGATTATCCTTTTAGAATCCCACAATATAGCCACCATAACCTTTTGAGCTGACTTCTTTGCTTTGAATGTAACTGACTCAGCACATCCTTGCAGAAACTGCTGTTTTGACTGGATCTTTAAAAAAAAAAAAAAAAATCATTTATTTGGGAGCTCTTAAAATAATCCATACATCAGTTGTATCAAGTACTTTTGTACATATGTTGCCATCATTTTCTAAACA